TTAACGGTTTAAAAACAAGAATGACATGTATCTATTATAGTCAGTTCTGTTTAAGAGCATCAAATAATTAATATACTTATATATGATTGGGTCAGATCTGATAATAACATTTTATTGCAAATCCACAATCGATTTCTAAAAGCATCAATTTATTGAATAATCTAATTTTCGCGGAGTTAATACTTTGTTGTTAATGAAAGTCTGGTTCTTGTGTTTCATATTTCAATATGTATGTATCTATATTCTAATATTGATGTAAAATTTTATATTATTAATTTACTTTGTATGATAGATTGCGGCAAACAACTTCTCATTTGTCCAGGTAAGGTAGAGACTGAATTACAGCAAAACACTCATTTGTCCAGGTAAGGTAGAGACAGGGCCTGTAGTATGTTGGGACAAAGGGCTACCAAGTTTGATAAAATTAATTATCTTACCCCCTTTCAAAGTCACAGGGGTCAGATATGTAAAATGAATTCCTGAAAATTGCAGGTGATCGTTAAGGCCCGTGGACCTCTTGTTCTTTTTCTTTTTGCATTATTTAAAGAAGTTTTTTCTCATACAATGAATATGTAAATATGTAGGAAATAAACCTATTTTTATCTGAAATTTTCCTATTTATCTAGATCATCATATTTATGTCGGTTTGATTGGCTACAGTCGCCTCCTTTCAAACTTAAATTCTTTAGTATCACTGACGGCTGAGTCCAAAAAGGACGAACTAACTGGATATAGAATAATCTGATTCTAATTTAATATATATTTAGTTTTTTGTGAAAAGAGATATTCACTTATTTGACTTTCGTCTTATCTGCCTTGATATTGTAGATTAGGAGTTACTAAGGCCAACCCGGGGATCAGGAATACTGCAGGTTGGTTGATCATGATGAGTAAAGTTGAGGGTGTCGGAACTGAATAAACGATCGCAAAGTGTTCTTACACAGGATTGGGAATCACCAACTGTGGTCATCTTGATGCCACTTGTGTCAGCTGTACAGACTAAATAACCATCTCAGAGGTGTTCATATTTGTTGACCAGAACTTAATGGGAATCTAAAAAGCACAAAATAAACAAAGAACACTTAGGTATTGAACAAACTCAAATGGGAAAAACCTTTAAGAACGGGATGTTTTAGATACATACCAAACCAAACTCAAATGTTCAACAATGTTAGTAACGGGATGTTTTAGATACATGCCAAACCAAACTCAAATGTTCAACAATGTTAGTAACGGGATGTTTTAGATACATACCAAACCAAACTCAAATGTTCAACAATGTTAGTAACGGGATGTTTTAGATACATGCCAAACCAAACTCAAATGTTCAACAATGTTAGTAACGGGATGTTTTAGATACATGACAAACCAAACTCAAATGTCCAACAATGTTAGTAACGGAATGTTTTAGATACATACAAAACCAAACTCAAATGTTCAACAATGTTAGTAACGGAATGTTTTAGATACATGACAAACCAAACTCAAATGTTCAACAATGTTAGTAACGGAATGTTTTAGATACATGCCAAACCAAACTCAAATGTTCAACAATGTTAGTAACGGAATGTTTTAGATACATGCCAAACCAAACTCAAATGTTCAACAATGTTAGTAACGGAATATTTTAGATTCAAATGTTCAACAATGTTAGTAACGGAATGTTTTAGATACATACCAAACCAAACTCAAATGTTCAACAATGTTAGTAACGGGATGTTTTAGATACATGCCAAACCAAACTCAAATGTTCAACAATGTTAGTAACGGAATATTTTAGATTCAAATGTTCAACAATGTTAGTAACGGAATGTTTCAGATACATGCCAAACCAAACTCAAATGTTCAACAATGTTAGTAACGGAATGTTTTAGATACATGACAAACCAAACTCAAATGTTCAACAATGTTACTAACGGAATGTCTTAGATACATACCAAACCAAACTCAAATGTTCAAAAATATTAGTAACGGAATGTTTTAGATACATACCAAACCAAACTCAAATGTTCAACAATGTTAGTAACGGGATGTTTTAGACACATACCAAACCAAACTCAAATGTTCAAAAATGTTAGTAACGGGATGTTTTAGATACATACCAAACCAAACTCAAATGTTCAAAAATGTTAGTAACGGGATGTTTTAGATACATACCAAACCAAACTTAAATGCTCAACAACGTCAAAAAAGGAATCAAACGGGAAAACTTAAATCAAACTGGAAACTTAAATCAAACGTGAAAAACTTAAATCAAACTGGAAACTTAAATCAAACTGGAAACTTAAATCAAACTGGAAACTTAAATCAAACTGGAAACTTAAATCAAACGGGATAAAAAATAAGAGCGGAATGTTTCAGGTACATACAAATATGTATGTCCATTTTACAAACTCAAATGATCAACAACTTTTAGAACGAAATAATGTGGATTTAGAACAAACTCAAATAAGTTTTAAAAAAATAAGGAGGATATGTTTAAGTATTGAGCAAATGCAAATGCTTTTGAAATTTAAGGACTTTATGTTTAAGTATTGGTCAAACTCAAATATTGAACAAATTAAAGAACTAAATATTTAGTATTGGACAAACTCTAATGCTTATCAAATGTATTGACGAAATGTTTAAGTATTGGTCAAACTCAAATATTGAACAAATTATTTAGTATTGGACAAACTCTAATGCTTATCAAATGTATTGACGAAATGTTTAAGTATTGGTCAAACTCAAATACTGAACAAATTAAAGAACTAAATATTTAGTATTGGACAAACTCTAATGCTTATCAAATGTATTGACGAAATGTTTAAGTATTGGTCAAACTCAAATATTGAACAAATTAAAGAACTAAATATTTAGTATTGGACAAACTCTAATGCTTATCAAATGTATTGACGAAATGTTTAAGTATTGATCAAACTCAAATATTGAACAAATTAAAGAACTAAATATTTAGTATTGGACAAACTCTAATGCTTATCAAATGTATTGACGAAATGTTTAAGTATTGGACAAACTCAAATGCTTATCAAATTTAAGGACGAAATGTTTTATGTATTGAATTAACGCAAACGATGAGCAGCGTTATGAACAATTTGTTTCCCGTGTTCCTGATGAATGGTGTTTTTATTATTATTTTTCATCTAATTTTCATCAAATTTTTTCCTGGTCATTTTCTTAAACATGTCGTGTAATACCCGCTGTATATCAGTGTAATTACATACCCAATATCTGACAACATAATACATCAGTACAGTAACGCCTTATGGTGTTTTTCATGCTATTTTTTTATTAAATGTGTGTGACATAACTTTGAGGGTTGGAATGCTACATCTGTTGTTAACGTCAAACATTCACAGCGTGCTTTGTGATGTAACCAAAAACATTGATTGAGGATATCAACGATTTAGATTTTACGGTCATGATAGTGATCCCATTGAGATATAATGCAACTTTGTATGCGATATGAAGCAATGTTTGATGCTCGTTAGATTGCCTATTGGTTCCGTTGTTTTATTCATTGTTCTAATTAATTCATAATTACTTTGGATTGATCACACCAAAAATTACATTTCGGGTGTCATCGAAGAAGCAGAAGAAGCTTACTGCACCGGACCATCTGGTCTGATTCTCCTTAAACTTTCAAGAGTATCCGAGTAAATCTTACCTTTGTTCATACATTTGCCTGGATACCTGTCGTAGCCCTAGTCGATTTCCCAGGATAATTGTCGTAGTCTTGGTCGAGTTCCATGGATACTTGTCGTAATCTTGGTCGAGTTCCCTGGATACTTGTAGTCTTGGTCGAGTTCCATGGATACTTGTCGTAGTCTTGGTCGAGTTCCCTGGATACTTGTCGTAGTCTTGGTCGAGTTCCCTGGATACTTGTCGTAGCCTTGGTCGAGTTCCCTGGATACTTGTCGTAGTCTTGGTCGAGTTCCCTGGATACTTGTCGTAGTCTTGGCCAGGTTCCTTTGGTAAATGTGATAGTCTTGGTCAGGTTCCCTTGGTAAATGTGATAGTCTTGGCCAGGTTCCCTTGGTAAATGTGATATCCTTTGTCATGTTCCCTTGGTAAATGTGAAAGCCTTGATAAGGTTCCTTTGGTAAATGTGATATCCTTTGTCAGGTTCCTTTGGTAAATTATTGATATCCTTTGTCAGGTTCCTTTGGTAAATGTGATATCCTTTGTCAGGTTCCTTTGGTAAATGTGAAAGCCTTGATAAGGTTCCTTTGGTAAATGTGAAAGCCTTGATCAGGTTCCTTTGGTAAGTGTGATATCCTTTGTCAGGTTCCTTTGGTAAATGTAATATCCTTTGTCAGGTTCCTTTGGTAAATGTGATATCCTTTGTCAGGTTCCCTTGGTAAATGTGATATCCTTTGTCAGGTTCCTTTGGTAAATGTGAAAGCCTTGATAAGGTTCCTTTGGTTAATGTGATGTCCTTTGTCAGGTTCCCTTGGTTAATGTGATATCCTTTGTCAGGTTCCTTTGGTAAATGTGAAAGCCTTGATCAGGTTCCTTTGGTAAATGTGATATCCTTTGTCAGGTTCCTTTGGTAAATGTGAAAGCCTTGATCAGGTTCCTTTGGTAAATGTGAAAGCCTTATCAGGTTCCCTTGGTAAATGTGATATCCTTGGTCAGGTTCCCTCGGTAAATGTGATATCCTTTGTCAGGTTCCTTTGGTAAATGTGATATCCTTTGTCAGGTTCCTTTGGTAAATGTGATATCCTTTGTCAGGTTCCTTTGGTAAATGTGATATCCTTTGTCAGGTTCCTTTGGTAAATGTGATATCCTTTGTCAGGTTCCTTTGGTAAATGTGATATCCTTTGTCAGGTTCCTTTGGTAAATGTGATATCCTTTGTCAGGTTCCTTTGGTAAATGTGATATCCTTTGTCAGTTTCCCTATATAACTTATGTATGAAATGCAGATTCTAGTCGAACCATATCGATTTAAATCAATCTCTATATCGACTTACTGAGGTGATACACAATAGAAGCGTACATCAACTGATAATTTCAGGGCTTTATTGGATAATTAGAACAATTCATTGGTTCGTTTACCAATTTCTGTAGTCCGGAGTCTCATATATTTAATAGAGAAATTCGTCGACATATTCGAATGTAGGAATGAACTGATACCTGAAAAACACAACAATACTTTTACACCAGTACCAAGTTAAAACATTTTTTTAAATTTGAAAACCTCTTTCTAATAAAAAGAAATGTAAGGTTTTCACATTTTGCAATTTCCATTAATGTTTTCAAAGAAAATCAAATCTATTTTCAAAATGTCAGGAAAACTTATTGATATATAATTCAATAATGTTTTATTCTTTAATTCCTAAACCATTTTAACCTAAGACTTAATACATCTCATAGGGTTGTACTAATACCGTAACTGAAGACATGGATTGGTGGCAATATTTGTCAGTATATATGTCACACTCACTTCGGTATTTTCTTTGGTTTTGATCTTTTTTTCCCGCCTTTTTTCTTTCCACGTCCACTGTCCTTGCCTTTTGTATTTGGCTGCTTCATCTCATGGTTTGGATTCTTTTGCTTATGTATTCGGAAAAGCCTGAAAAATAGGTGTCAAATGATAAGAAAAGTCTGTTAAAAATGTGATAGAATTTATTTTTATAATTCGGAAAAGTCTATTAAAAAGGTGTCATATGATAGAATATGATGTGTACGTTTTGACGAGATGATTATATGCAGGTTTGGTGCTAAAATACCTACATTTGACATTGGTTCTGTACTGTGTTCACGAACACAAACGGCCCTACGTTATTATGTGTTAACGGTTCACAGGGCATCTGTCCGTCAAGGGTATTGGTATTCCTGAAGTTAACCATAGGTCGGCGGATAGTCCTGCGGAAACAAAACAAGAGAAAGAAAGTAATCTGACAGCTCGGGCAATCATCCTGTGTTTTCGTCCCGTTTTACTGATAACAACATTTGTAAGAAATGTGACACTACTAATATACAAATATATCTCATGCTGATAGCTTTGTACTTAATTATCATATTAAAAACTTTTACAATTTCACCTTTGTGTTTGATTATGCTACAGTGATTTACGAGGTATGATATGGAATATCGTTGAATAGCGTTGTCTGTCTAATGTCTGTAACTTGGAGATTACACAACGTTACTTAATCAAAACTGGCCTATGCAAGTTATGGTTTTCTATGTCCTGTTCCTCAATTAATACATGGACGATTTCCCGCCAAAACCGAATACCGCCGACCTGCGGCCAGTCCCTTGCTACTGCTCGGCGTAGGTTTCCAGTTTGATTTTAACATATTTATTGCCAAAAGATAGACAACGGATTAGGCGCAAGTTAATGCAACTTATCAACGCCTTCTCCCAATATACATTTTAAATGACATTACAATCATGGCAATACAAATATACAATTATTGTTACACATTGACATCAAAATCTCTTGCTGGATTAAATAAAAGTTTGCAAGGATTTTAAAATGTTTGCATTAAGGTCCACGGAAAATTGAGAATTGCCATACAAAATAATTTCTATATCAAATGCAACGTCTCAATTATTTAAATTTAGAACTAAAATAAGTCTCTCGTCCGAGAAACGTTGACATTCAATAAAACAGTGATAGACATTCTCACAAGGATGACCACATCCACAAGATGCATTCTCAACAAGGTAACAAACGCAGAGGTGAAGAGATTGCGAAAATTCGGCCAACGCGAGCCCGACTGATCAAGATATATATAATTCAATTCAATCCTGCTAAACATCTTCAAATTAAATAAATGATATAAGACACACTGAATTAAAATCAATTCGATAATCTTACTTATGTTTTTTCTTGAAGGCTTTGAGTTCCGTAGATGGACGTAGTTGTACAGTCTCTGTTGTAACTACCCTGAAAATAAAGATGTTTTCTGTTTATCAGTATATATACTGTTGTCGACAACAGGCGTTCATCTGTCAACTGTTAAAATGAGGTTTATCAATCAAAATGCAATCATGTTTTATTTTAACAGTTGAAATTATCAGATATGTAAAAATTGCGATTTTTTTAAACTATTGTGCTAATGCACCTCCTAAGTTACATTTTGGAATGTCTTTTGAACAATTACAATTTCCCTCCGTCATACCCTAGGTTTACAAAGATTTATAGAAACACAACATATCAGCACATGAATTACAACAGCAAACTATACCTTGTTTTTCCGGAGTACAGAATTTAAATCCTACCTAATAAACTGTAATACTTCAGAAAAAAGGTTCACAGGTTAAATTTTACACAATCTAATACAGATCAAGCATTTACATAACCAAGATTAAGAAAGTATAAACAAACAATCTTCGTATATTATAAAAAAAAAATAATTGAAGCGCTTCAGTGACATAGTGAAATTTGTCGCGTTTAAGCGCACATGTAAGTTTTTCGGGACGATGGACTGACTGGAGTTCGCTGTGTTTTCAGTTATATTATATCTTATGAATATATTTTTGGATAGCTGAGAAGTACTGAGCATCTTCACGTAACTTCAAAGTATTCAGGTGAGTCCGCTCTTTGGGGTCACGCGTACGTTTTATAATAAACAGGAGAGTTTCACATCGGTCAATGATAACCGGTTTGATTGGTTGGTTGGTTGGCAGGTTTTCGTCTCCACGGCTCATCCCGTCTCCGGGTATCGTCTCACCGACGAACTTCAGTGCTCAGACGACTTGAGGGGGCGACCTGCATCCCCCTCAGTGGAATTGAACCGTCTGTGGCGGTGAACGTTTGAATATACTAATTAATAGACAGCTCCGGGGTATAATAATGCCTTATCCTAATTCTAGTAGTTGTAACATGACCAAAAGTTGAATGGAAGAATTGGGGACGTATCTAGTTTTGGTTTGTGTTTAGGTAACTTTGAAGTCTACTGACTTAGTAATAATTGTATAGTGTGATACTATCCCCGGACCGTGTTATCCCGCCTACTCTTTTTACGAAAAACCACAAGAGATCTTCAGCGTGGGAGAGTGGACAATCTTCACACGAGAAACGGGATGACAGGTCGCGGACCTTTTATTCCATACGATGTCTGTACTTGTTTCCAAGCTAGTCTTAGCTTAAAATGCCGACCACTTCCTTAGATACAAATTACTGGAAGATATCATTTGGGAAACGGAAACATTTTTTTCTTTTTTTCTCTCTCTTAATTTATTTTTTTTATTAAACTTCCAATGCCAGCTTTAATTTGTCTTTTGTATAATATCCAATTAAATCTTTTTTCTGATGTCTCTGACAGATACTTTGTGATTCATTGTCATGGTAGATTTACGTTGTTAGTATCATATCGATGTACTCAATATTTGACACGTGATATCACTAATTATCATATCAATGAACATAACTCATATGATTAAATATCTGTTTTTATTATCGGATCGAATTTTATTAACTCATTTTGTGAACTCGCTGATTCGGATAATTGAAAACATTAAATGAATTCATAATATAACTAGTTTATATGACTAGTATAAATAATTCTTGAAATTAAGTCAAATAACTGATTTGAATTAGTATTGCCAATAATCCTTTTATTAATATCAATAATACTTTATATTTCATACGATCAATAATATCTTTATTAATTATTGAATTGTCGATTTCAATTCCAATTATCGATATCACTAAATTAATCATTGATGCTATTCAAATAATTGACATAATTTAATCTGGAAAAATACTTGATATTAATGAATAAATAGATAAATGATATCAATTACTACATGATGTTAAAAAATCAATAAATGCTATCAATTAATAAACCATATCAATAAATAAATGATATCATATGTTATAGATAAATACTAAAACGGTGCCCAGTATATCAGCACGACGTAACAGTACGATAACAGTATGTGTTGTAAAGATACAACTTTACTATTTACTCTCTATACTTGTCTATGATAAAAAAGACTGAAGTTCCAAATGTTTGCCACAGATTAATGGTTACCAATCAACATTTCGATGCTGACTGCTTACGTCACAGCTCATTAGTGTTCGGTACTTTCCGGTCGTTACTCAACAATTTCAGCCATTAAGCAATAGTACACATTCCTGACGTAACCTTCTGGTCCGATGCTTAAGTGTTGTCTAGATTTGTCTAATATACCGCTGAAGACAGGTATGAACTGGAGAGGATATAACAAAATGGCTGTAGACTGGATTTTCGGTCAGCGTGTGTTATGTTGAACCCTCGGTCCAAACAGATTAGTCCTATGGTTTTCCGGAACGCATGTGGACCTCAATCCCAGTCAACAATTGTATATTACACCAAAAGAAATGTAGTAGAAATCCAGTGATCTTGTAAAATTATTCTTCATTGGGTTTGTTCTTCGCCTGTGGTATGTTTTATCGTACCTCAGATAGCATGCACATTCTTTGGAGAAAAAGGAACCGTTTTCCAATAACAAACAGGATTGCACAAAACGACACAAGTGAATAACATTTCTCGCTGCAAATGTAATGAGTTCCAGATATATACATCTTCTACTTCTATAGCTTAGTCATACTGAAATATTACAGAAATACTACTAGTACATAAGTAAAGTACTTACATTTCACAGTATTCATTTGAAGGTTGGTATAGTACAATAAGAGACTCATTCTCGGTTCGGGTCTGAAATCGTGGACATGTACTTTCCTCTGTTGCTGCAGTGTTTGTTGTCGTCCCTGATGATACGTGAACATCTGTAAAAAAAGGGGGGACAAGAAATATATAACTTACAATAGACATGCAGATCCTAGAGAGGACTTGTGAACTTTGACCTCAATTTATGTTAATGGTTTCTTATTCGATATCTTAGGTTGACATGTTATTAACATCGAGTCGTTAAAAGTGTAAAATATCACGGAAAAGAATGTTGATATAAAGGAACACGAAACGTTTACACAATAGGCATACAAGTGAGCAACGCCCCTCAACAATATGATTTTACATCTCCATTGATTGACTGACAGGATACTAATCGTCCTGTACAACGCTTTTGCTACTATCATACTTTATCTGACATTATTTAGTAAGAAAACCATACATACAGAGAAATGCGTATCAACCGTATTCAAACCATCAGAAAAAAATGTCAGTGATCACTATAGGTGAAGATATAAGTTAACATTTACCAAAAAGGCACATTCACACCATTCCCTTGAATGCTGTGATGTATACTGATGAATATCATACTGTTAGATATACTGATGAATATCATACTGTTAGATATACTGATGAATACTGTTAGATATACTGATGAATACTGTTAGATATACTGATGAATACTGTTAGATATACTGATGAATATCATACTGTTAGATATACTGATGAATATCATACTGTTAGATATACTGATGAATACTGTTAGATATACTGATGAATATCATACTGTTAGATATACTGATGAATACTGTTAGATATACTGATGAATACTGTTAGATATACTGATGAATACTGTTAGATACACTGATGAATACTGTTAGATATACTGATGAATATCATAGATATACTGATGAATACTGTTATATATACTGATGAATACTGTTAGATATACTGATGAATATCATACGGTTAGATATACTGTTATATATACTGATGAATACGGTTAGATACACTGATGAATACTGTTAGATATACTGATGAATACTGTTAGATATACTGATGAATACTGTTAGATACACTGATGAATACTGTTAGATATACTGATGAATACTGTTAGGTATACTGATGAATACTGTTAGGTATACTGATGAATACTGTTAGATATACTGATGAATACTGTTAGATATACTGATGAATATCATACTGTTAGATATACTGATGAATACTGTTAGATATACTGATGAATACTGTTAGATATACTGATGAATACTGTTAGATATACTGATGAATACTGTTAGATATACTGATGAATACTGTTAGATATACTGATGAATACTGTTAGATATACTGATGAATACTGTTATATATACTGTTAGATATACTGATGAATATCATACTGATATAGAGTGATATTGATGACTGATCAACGTTATTAAATATATAGAGTGATAATGATGACTGTTAGATGTTCCTAGAAATATATAGTGATATTGATGACTGATAGACGTTGTAAGACATATAGAGTGATATTGATGACTGATAGACGTTGTTAGATATATAGAGTGATATTGATGACTGATAGACGTTCTTAGATATATAGAGTGATAATGATGACTAATAGAGGTTCCTAGAATTATATAGTGATATTGATGACTGATAGACGTTCTTAGATATATTGAGTGATATTGATGACTGATCAACATTGTTTGATATATAGAGTGATGTTGATGACTGATTAAAGTTTTTAGATATATAGACTGATACTGATGAATGATAGACGTTGTTAGATATACAGAGTGATATTGATGACTGATAGACGTTGTTAGATATATAGAGTGATATTGATGACTGATCAACGTTGTTAGATATATAGAGTGATATTGATGACCTTTAAAGATATATAGAGTGATATTGATGACTGATCAACGTTGTTAGATATATAGATGATATTGATGACTGATAGACGTTGTAAGATATTTAGAGTGATATTGATGACTGATGGACGTTGTAGATATTCGGAGTGATATTGATGACTGATAGACGCTGTTATATATATAAAGTGATATTGATCACTGATCAACATTGTTAGATATATAGAGTGATATCGATGACTGCCAGACATTGTAAGATATATAGAGTGATATTGATGACTGATCAACGTTGTTAGATATATAGAATGATATTGATGACTGATAGACGTTGTTAGATATATAGAGTGATATTGATGATATATAGAGTGATATTGATGACTGATAGACGTTCTTACATATATAAAGTGGTGTTGATGACTGATAGACGTTGTTTGATATATAGAGTGATATTGATGACTGTTTCACGTTGTAAGATATATAGAGTGATATTGATGACTTATACACGTTGTTAGATATATAGAGTGATATTGATGACTGATAGACGTTGTTAGATATATTGAGTGATATTGATGACTGATAGACGAGAAATATATAGTGATATTGATGACTGTTTGACGTTGTTAGATATATAGAGTGATATCGATGACTGCCAGACATTGTAAGATATATAGAGTGATATTGATGACTGATGAACGTTGTTAGATATATATCATGATATTGATGACTGATAGACGTTGTAAGATATTTAGAGTGATATTGATGACTGATGGACGTTTATAGATATATAGAGTGATATTGATGACTGATAGACGTTTTTAGATATATAGAGTGATATTGATGACTGTTTCACATTGTTAGATATATAGAGTGATATTGATGACTGATACACGTTTTTAGCTATATAGACTGATATTGATGACTGATAGATGTTGTAAGATATACAGAGTGATATTAATGACTGATAGACGTTTTTTGATATATAGAGTGATATTGATGACTGTTTCACGTTGTTAGATATATAGAGATTTGCTAGAGTGATATTGATGACTGATAGACGTTTTTAGATATATAGAGTGATATTTTTGACTGATAGACTTTTATATATATATAGAGTGATATTGATGACTGATAGACGTTTAAAGATATATAGAGTGATATTAGAGATAGACGCTGTTAGATATATAGAGTGATATTGATGACTAATAGACGTTCTTAGATATATAGAGTGATATTGATGTCTGATAGACGTTGTTTGATATGTAAAGTGATATGGATGACTGTTTCACGTTGTTTGATATATAGAGTGATATTGATGACTTATACATGTTGTTAGATATACAGAGTGATATTGATGAATGATAGACGTTTTAAGATATATAGAGTGATATTGATGACCGATCAACGTTGCTACATATATAGAGTGATATTGATGACTGATAGACATTGTAAGATATACAGGGTGATATTGATGACTGTTTTATGTTGTTAGATATATAGAGTGATAATGATGACTGTTGGACGGGCCTAGAAATATAGAGTGATATTGATGACTGATAGACATTATAAGATATATAGAGTGATATTGATGACTGATAGACGTTGTTAGATATATAGAGTGATATTGATGACTGATAGACGTTGTTAGATATATAGAGTGATATTGATGACTGATAGACGTTGTTAGATATATAGAGTGATATTGATGACTGATAGACGTTGTTAGATATACAGAGTGATATTGATGACTGTTTCACGCTGTTATATATATCAAGTGATATTGATCACTGATCAACATTGTTAGATATATAGAGTGATATCGATGACTGCCAGACATTGTAAGATATATAGAGTGATATTGATGACTGATAGACGGTCTTAGATATATAGAGTGGTATTGATGACTGATAGACGTTGTTAACTATATAGACTGATATTGAGACTATATAGATATTGTTATGATGACTATAACGTTGTAAGATATATAGATGATATAACATTGCTAGATATATGAGTGATATTGATGACTGATAGACGTTGTAAGATATATAGAGTGATATTGATGACTGATAGACGTTGTTAGATATATGGAGTGATATTGATGACTGATAGACGTTGTTAGATATATAGAGTGATATTGATGACTGATCAACATTGTTTGATATATAGAATGATATTGATGACTGATAGACTTTGTTAGATATACAGAGTGATATTGATGACTGATAGACGTTATTAGATATATAGAGTGATATTGATGACTGATAGACGTTGTTAGATATATGGAGTGATATTGATGACTGATAGACGTTGTTAGATATATAGAGTGATATTGATGACTGATAGACGTTGTTAGATATATATGAGTGATATTGATGACTGATCATATATAGAGTGATATTGATGACTGATACACGTTGTTAGATATACAGAGTGATGTTGATGACTGATTAAAGTTTTTAGATATATAGAGTGATATCGATGACTGTTTCACGTTGTTAGATATATAGAGTGATATTGATGACTCATACACGTTGTTAGATATACAGAGTGATATTGATGACTGATAGACGTTGTTAGATATATAGAGTGATATTGATGACTGATAGATGTTGTTAGATATATAGATTGATATTGATGACCGATCAACATTGCTAGATATATATAGTGATATTGATGACTGATAGACGTTGTTAGATATATAGATTGATATTGATGACCGATAAACGTTGCTAGATATATAGAGTGATATTGATGACTGATAGACGTTGTTAGATATATAGATTGATATTGATGACCGATCAACTTTGCTAGATATATAGAGTGATATTGATGACTGATAGACGTTGTTAGATATATAGATTGATATTGATGACCGATCAACTTTGCTAGATATATAGAGTGATATTAATGACTGATAGACGTTTATAGATATATAGAGTGATATTGATGACTGATAGACGTTCTTAGATATATAGAGTGGTATTGATGACTGATAGACGTTGTTAGATATATAGAGTATATAGATATATATGAGTGATGATATATATGATGATATTGATGACTGATCAACGTTATTAGATATATAGAGTGATATTGATAACTGATCAACATTGTTAGATATATAGAGTGATATTGATGACTGATCAACGTTGTTAGATATATAGAGTGATATTGATGACTGATAGACGGTGTTAGATATATAGAGTGATATTGATGACTGAAAGACG